CCCCAAAACCCCAAAACCCCAAAACCCCAATAGATAGTATTTCAAATAAAAAAGGTAATTAGTCTTAAATTTTGGAATTAGAAATCGATTAAAAATATAGAGAGTTTTTAAATTTTCTGTTTTATTTATTACTAGTCATATGTCAATTTCCTTGAATTTCTAAGATTCCACGATAGCGCTGCTTACCTTAGGATCCTATCTTTAAAAGGTGAAGTCTTATTCGTCTTTGAACTTGTCAAGTGCTTCAAATGAGGACTCAACTATCTATATTGGACCTTCTCCCCCTTTTTCTTTCTTAACAATCTACTTAGGAGTTAGTACAAAGTGTTTATGTATCACTTCCTGCTGTTCGAGAGAAGCATTCAGATTCTATAAATTAACAGAACAATATCGCTTTTTGTTTAGATCTCTTATAATAATGCGGCCGTTTTTATATTCAATGGTGTTTTAGACGAACTCCTCAAAATTATTCTCAAAGTCCATCATGTAATGTGTAAATTATTTCAAATGAATTTCTATTTCTTATTTCCCATTTCTGACAGTTGGGTTCAATGATCTTATATATACTTTATTTTCAGCTCTTACTAGCTTAATGCTTATTGCTGCCTCAATCTCCTCTACATATAATTTTGTTTTATACAATTCAATTTCTTAGCCATACTGATAAGATCCCTTTGGACCAAAAAATGTACCGTTCATCTCTTTAGATTTTCTTGGCTTAGGTCTAGTTTAAAATCTTCTTTAAGTCATTTTAGGATTTACTAATCCATAACTTCCATTTTTAGGTTGCTCAATTGAGTGTTAATCATAACCATCATATTCGTTATCACTAGTTTTTAGACTTTAACCTCCATAGGATTCATTTACTTTTCCTGTAATAGGCAAGGAAGTCTATGGAAATTTCAATCCTGAGCTGAAATCTTTGTTTATATTTTATGTATAGTTTTGGAGATTCGGGGAGACTCCATATGTTCTAACATTTGAGGTAGAATTCTTAAGAAACTCTTTTTGCTTGACAACTGAACTTGACCTGCCTGAGTTGAATTACTAAGGTCCCTCAATAATATTTTTCAAGTAGTTCTAATGTTTATCTTCAAAATCTTAAAACTAAACCTAATCAACTGTCGCCTTGCTGTTACGCAAACGCTCAAGAAGTTTAATATTTTCCTTCATCAAATCCCTTTATTCCCTTTCTCTTTATCTCTATTTTATATCGTGCATATTTAATGGCGAACTCTTTTTGAAATTTGCACCAGCTAGCCCTATAAAACTATAGCCATCGCTTTAAGTCTGATTCAAACCAGTTTGAGGAAATTTCATTTTTATTTTGGTAATTTTTTCATAGAGAATTCTATTTGCTCTCTCGATTTCCGTACATTTATCCTCTTACATCTATTCAACTTTGCTCTTGTTTATTTTCATAGGAGCTTAGCTTACATTTACTAGTGGCTTTATTTCAATAACTTTTTGTCTGTGAATGTCGAAATCGTACTGTTTCCACTTTTTACTAAGAATCTTGGATGGTCCTTCAATAGTTTTATCAATCATTTTACAATTATAATTTAATTATAGGTTTATTATGAATTAAGCAGATAATGATAATATAAAGTTTAATTATTTTAGGTATTAATTAATGTCAAAAGCTAACAAAAAGAGCAAAAATAATAATCAAGAGGAGAAAAAAACTTAATAAATTCCTCCAGTTTAAAATGCTACTCCTATTGAAGAATTAGTTTTGAAACCTGTTACTATTAAGACTTAGTTTGATTATGTAAGAAATGATTATTTAAAATAAATTCTAGAATTCTTAACTGTTTTTGACATATTTAAGAGTGACACTCCAATAATTACCTAATATCAAAGAGGGTGAAACACTAACTGTTCAAGTATTTGGAGAAAATGAGTAATTTATAGTACGAAAAGTAGTTTAAAAGTAATAGTCTGAGGTAGAGAATACAGATTAGCTAACTTTTAATCAAGTTGTAACTAAAGAAACAAATATCAAAATCAAAAGTAGCAATTAAATCGATGATGATGGTGAAGAGGAATAGGACGAATTAGATTAACTAGAAAAAATGTTTAACTCAATGAAGATTAATGATACCAATCAAGTGAATGATAATAATTAAGTACAATTTTCAGGGTTTAAAGAGTAATTGGAATTACTGAAGGAAGTGATTGAACTAAAGCTATTGAGTGTGGAAAATAAAGTAAATATAAAGGGAATTCTTATTCATGGTCCTTCTGGAATTGGTAAAACAATGGCTATAGAAAACATTTTGAAAGGCTATTAATTACATAAGATTATTCTTACTCCAAAGCATCTTATTTAGGCACCTTAAGGCTAAATAAAGTAAATGCAGGATGCTTTTAAACTATTAAAACTAAAATAGCCGTCAATCTTAGTCGTGGAGGAAATAGATTATATTGCTAGCTCTAAATCTCAGAATAAAGACTTATTTTATGCATTTTAATCAGAGTTAGATTCTATTGATTCAATCAATGATAAAATTGTTGTCATATCAACAACAAATAAGCTTGAAGAAGTTGATAAATCGATGAGAAGAGGAGGTAGATTGGATATCGATATTAGATTTGATATGCCATCTGCAGAAGATAGATATGACATCCTGAAAGCACATTTATAAGTCCTTGGTGAAAATGATATTACTGATAGTGAGTTAGAAATTATAGGTAGAGCTGCAAGTGGTTTTGTGAGCAGTGATTTAGCTTAAATCGTGAGGAACACTCACATCTAGAGTTTAAAATTCAATAATGGTAAGATTACAAAAAGGTTGCTTGAACAAGCTATAATGGATGCTAAACCTTTGAGCATTCAAGATTTATTAGTTGAGGTTCCAAAGACTAAATGGGATGAAATTGGTGGTAATGAAGATATCAAGTTTCAAGTTAAACAGTGTGTTGAATGGCCACTAAAGCATTATAAGAAATTTTAATTGATGGGGTTAAAACCTCCTGCTGGTATTCTTTTATACGGACCTCCAGGTTGTAGTAAAACAATGATTGCTAAAGCTTTGGCTACTGAGAGTGGCTTAAATTTTATCGCTGTAAAAGGACCTGAGCTTTTCAGTAAGTATGTTGGTGACACTGAAAAGGCTATAAGAGAAATATTTAGGAAAGCTAGATTATCCTCTCCTTCAATTATTTTCTTTGATGAGATTGATGCTATGGCTACCTAGAGAGGTAATGAAGAGACAAGTGTCTCTGATAGAGCATTATGCTAGCTTCTCAATGAAATGGATGGAATAGAATCTAGAGCTTAAGTAATAGTAGTTGCAGCAACTAACAGATTAGATATTATTGACTCGGCCTTGCTTAGACCTGGTAGATTTGATAGATTAATTCATGTTCCTCTTCCAAGATAAGAAGCAAGAGAATAGATCATTAGAATTAATGTTTTAAAGATGCAGAAAGATGAAGACATTGACTATCCAAAATTAGCATAATTATCAGAAGGGATGTCTGGAGCAGAGATTGCTTTAATTTGTAGAGAAGCTGGACTCAAGGCTCTTACTTAAGATATGAACATTGAAAAAGAGGATACTTAGCAGATTAAAGTTACTCAAGAACATTTGGAATTGTCCTTGAATGAGGTAAGAATGAGAGGAAAAGCTGATAAGTAACCCACAATTGGAGGAGTATTTGATGGAGTGTCATTATTTTAAAAGTGAGGAGTTATGTTTGATAATTAAAATTATTTTGTAATTAAAATACTTGTATCACGTAGAAATAAAAGTACATAGTTTAAGATCGTCAATCTAGCTGAAAGATCTATAGATCTATTAGAGATTGACTTTCATTAAACTTTGGACTTAATTAAATATTGACTCAAGCTCTCTATCCTAGCTTTTCTTGTCTGTTCAGAACCAATTTTTGCAGTTTTATAACTAATAAGATGAACTCTGCTATTGCTAAAGTTATTACTTCCTAGTATTTTCCAATTATTCAGCTCTTATGTTTTCCTCTTTTAGATTCATCATAATATTTCTCTTTGTTCTTTCAATGCTCCTGTTTCTTTTACTCTTTTCAGACATAACATCTAATCTCGATAAGGGGTGATTAGCTGGATGCTTTTAGTGAAGAGAAGGAGAAATGGAGTACTCAGTGTCTCTACCAGATGATGCCAATTCAAAGTCCTCTGAATGAGCTATTGTTGAATCAACAGCTACATTTAGAACACTTAGGGAAGTTGTATTAAGTTTTGATACATTATTGTTGGTCAAAATTGTGGAACTTCTCTAATAGATTTGCTTGGTATTGTCTGGATCGTACTTGACATTGAGTGAGTAGAACTTATCCATATTTCTTGATGAAGCTATCGCACTCTCTAGAGAGATACTCTTTGAGGCTGATTTCTCTGGGGTAAAATCAATAGCATGATTTTCCTGGACTTAATTTTCGATTTAATTTGCATCTGGAACATAAATAATTGCACTTGAACAATCAGATATCTGATTTTTAGCGTCTGATAATGCTTAAGTTTTCTTTTCTTCTTCTTGTCCTGATGACGGAAGATCTAATTCTTCATTTTTCAAATGAATAGAATAATGAGACTCATGATTGATTTCAGTATCAATAATCATTAAATCCTCTTCTTAATTAGGTATGACACCTTCTATTTGCACAGGAGTACTATGATTTGGAGTATATAGAATTTAACATAAATCCTCGTACTTTAGAATATCTTAGAATCTAAGTCCAGCAGGGAAGATCTTAACTGGAACTTCATAAGCCATAAATTTACTCACTTTATTGTAAATATTTCTTCTACTACTCTTCAATTCTTCCTATTAAGATTTAAAGAGAGCTCTCAATTTGCTTTTGAAAAAGCCTAATCCATGCTTATTGCTTTCAGTTAACATTAGTAAATCAGATAAAATCAAAGGTGAGCAATATATCAAACTGTTGAAGTGCTTCTTGAAAATAATTTTGCAAATAGTGGTAAATAACTCTGGATCCGCACTTTAAATAGTATCAATTTTGCAGTTTAGAATTAGAGTAAGTCCTTAAATAAAGCAATGTTGATATATTTTGTCCTAACTCCCCTAAGGATCATTGAGATTCACCATTTCTGAGGCGTCAGTAGAAGACTATTAGGATAGCATGCTTGCTGATCGCTTTGTTTTCTTTGATTTAATCTTGCAATTAGATTCAAAGTACTTGGTTATATAGTGCAAACATTTGATAAAAACAGATTCTTTAATTATGCCATTTTATCTCGCCAATAAACTTGACAGATAATTCCAGCTTTGCTGTCTTAAATTCAGATGCTCTTTGGTAATTAGATTGAAGGACTTGAAAAGCAAGAAACTTAAGAATTTCTCAGTAAAAATCCTGAACTTCTCATGCTATGAAGACAATGAGATTATGTACAAAGGAAAGTATTGCATGAAATTGAGTTTGTGAACAGTGAATATCTTCTATTCAAAAATCTTCATAAGGCTTTCAATGAATTCGTCAAAATTGTTACTTTACTCTTTTTCATCAGTAATTTCCATTATGCATTTGACTCTCTCAGAAACATATTCTAGAACTAAATCAAACAAAATACCCATCTTAGTCTCTTTATCACTAGGAATTTTAACACTCAACTCTTTTAAGTACGAGTTCATTGGCTAGATCTTGTTAATTTGAGAGAATTAGAATTTCCTTATTTTTGTCTTGATGTCTACATCTAATTAGCAAAGTTTCTCGACTATTGCTACCATAATTTTTTCCTCATTTTCTGGGGAACCTTTTGCAATATCAAGCACCATTTTGTAGTACAAGTATTAGTTCTCTGGCTACATACTCTTGTGTGGAAGCTTCTCAATCAAATTTTAGATTATAAATTGATGCGCAAAAGGGTATAACTTCATTATTTTGGAGAGAAAGAGGCCGAGTTTCTTGAGGGAGGATTAAGCATACTTCTTCTCTGAGAAAGTCTTGAGACTCATTATGGAGGCTTAGACAATACTATTTAAACATTTTTTAATTGAGATTGCGTCATCTTCTTTGGGAAGAGTGTCCGCGGGTTAATTTTAAGATTATACGAAAAAAGTAGGATATCCGAAGCATTTCCCAATTAAAATTGGGTATCTTGGATTAGTTGGAAGCTCTCTGGTCTGATGAAAGCTAAAAAGAACTTTGAGGAATATTAAATCTTGTTTATCCTGTACCTGAATTATACTATCTTAATTTTGATCAGAATAGGCCCTCAGAATCTGCTTCGCTCTGGCCAAAATATCTTCTGAAGTCTTAAGTTCCTTTAGATTTTTCTAAAAGTCTGCTTTTTCTTCGATTGTTAAAAAATCAATTTTTTCAGTAGTATTAACTTGGGCTAGACTGCTAATTGCTCTTGTTTCATGACCGTCATCCTCTGTGTCAACTGAACTCTCACACTGAACTTCACAACTGTGGATGATTGTTTGTGCTCTTTCCCACAGAAGATCAGCTAGTGCTGGCCGGTGCTCACCGAGCATGATGCATCTATAGCAAAACGATTAATTTTGCGAAAAGAGCATGACGGCCTTACTGGAATAATCCGTGAGGAGAGAAGATATGTTTAATAACTTTATGAATATAGGACACATCATGAGGGAAAACGGCCAGACATAGTCGTATATAGGAGTTGAAATTCTGGCCGTGAGTCGTCGTGGGAGTGAACCACGGGAGTTTAAAAACTAAGAGCTCCAAGAGCTCATGGTCTTAATATTCATGAATTATATTAGTTATTGTTTCAAGAAACACTTTTACCCAAATCCTCAGAGCCTACGACTCCTCCTTGGCGTTCACAAACCCCTGACGATTTATAACTTAATAGTAGTTCTTGATCCTCCCCTGTAAAAGTTTAAATGAATAAAATAAGATACCTCTTTTTTTGATTGAAGTGCGTCTAACAATATGTTTTTCTTCATTTTAAAACTTTGCAGCACTTCCTCCTCGCTGTGCTTAGTAAGCAGAGGTCTCTGGGGGAGTTAACGGACTGAGTTGAGAGGGAGTGGAGTTTAAAATAAAGATGAATTAAGAATATTCTTATTGGGATCCATAGTTAGTTAATATTTAGTACTATGATGTATAAATGAAAGTTGATAAATTAATATTATATACTTTAATTTAGCAATCATAATTCAAGTTTTATCAGTGGCTCAATTAATAGCTTGCTTTTAACTTACTTTAATAGGAAAATAAAGTTACTTCTAATCGTTAATTTTAATTTTAATATCTAGGTCTTGTCAAAAATGAACAAATCAACCTATTCAGAGATTGGCCGGTACAATAACTATTCTCAGATGATAGATCCAACATCTCCACTAATCTCCAAGAGAAAATAAAAGCTTAAGAAAAGCATGTTTCAATAGAAACCAGAAGAATCTGGTCATCATGTGGAATATGGCAAGCCTTTTATCAAAGATTAGAATGATACTGGAGAGTTCAATAGATTTTAAGATGTCATTTTAGATCAAAAGCACGATCAAGAAGTTCAGAAGAGAGCATCTAAAGTCCATAAACACCTACAAAAGTCATTTGAAATGCAGGATAAAGAGAAGCAATGTCTCTAACTTTCGGAAAGGGGTAATTTATGGATAATCCTTGCGTTATTAGCTGGAATATGCTACGCGTTTAACAATTTTTTCCTCGGTTAGTTATCTCATCATGGTTTTACTGCAGTTATCTATGTAAACATTCCATCGTTTTGCTTGTTTGTGGTAGTTTATGGGGTTAATCTCATTAGGAATAAGGTAATTCATGGGTTCTTTTGGTGCAGAGAGGTATCAATATTCTTTAAGGAAGAGGATGACACTCTAGATAAAAGTATTGTACTTGGTGTGTGTATGATGAGTTTATGTAAATTTTTTGGATTCTATATGGTGGTTTAAACTTTCAATTATGCTACCTTAGCAGGAATGAATCTTGGAATTATAACAGTTATTTTCAATTTTTGCTGTATTACTGATTCAATAGTGTTTTACTTTTTCTTTCAAGAAAAATTATCAAAACCTTAAATTCTTGGTGTCTCTGTACTGCTATTAAGCGCATATTTTATCAGCTTGAAATCTGAAAATGATTAATTCATTTATCCATATCTCTCTGGTGAAACTAATCAATAATACTTTTTGAGAGTAGAAAAGCTAAACTCAGAAAAGAATTACAATGCTATGTGTGCTATATTTACTGCTCTAGTATGCACTCTATTTTTCTCAGCTAGAGATGTTATCTTGAGATATTACAGAATAAACAAAAACTACCCTGCATTTGAATTATCCTTAGACTCTCTAACATTATATTCATTTGGATGTTCTATATATGCAGTATACTATTTCTTAATAATGGGTTAGCCTTTTGATATTGACTCATTTTACTCCGGCTGTATGAGTGCTGTATTGAATACTTTAGGATTTATGATGCTTGGAATTTCAGTTGTTATCGGCTATGCAGGACCTGCTAATGCCTTAAATAGTATTTAGGCGATTGTATTGACAATGTTAAGTATATCAATACTCAATCACATTCCAACTAGACTGTAAGTCATTGGAATGCTTTTAGGAATGCTCGGGACAATAATTGTTAGTACTGGAGATGCAATTATGAAACTTATAGGGCTTTGCTTTTCTAAATCTACTGTGTCTCAACAAGTTGAAAATCCAGATGTATATAAAAGACTTAATCATTGATGAATAAAATTTTGCATTAATTATTTGATAAATTTCACAAGAAAAGAATTGATGGGGTTTTGGGGTTTTGGGGTTTTGGGGTTTTGGGGTTTTGGGG